GGGTGCTGTGGAGTTTGAGGGTGCTGTGGATTTTGGTTTTGGGAGTATTGTGGAGGTTTTGGATGTTATGGGATTTGGGGAGTTGTGGGGTTTTAGAAGTGCTGTGGGATTTTGGGTGCTGTGGGGTTTTGGGAGTGCTGTGGGGTTTTGGGGTGTTATGGGGTTTGGGGTATTGTGGGGGTTTGGGAGTGCTGTGGGGTTTTGGGGTGTTATGGAGTTTGGGGTATTGTGGGGGTTTGGGGGTGCTGTGGGGTTTTGGGGTGTTATGGAGTTTGGGGTATTGTGAGGTTTGGGGGTGCTGTGGGGTTTTGGGGTGTTGTGGAGTTTGGGATATTGTGGGGGTTTGGGGGTGCTCTGGGATTTGGGAGTGCTGTGGGGTTTGGGATACTCTGGCATTTGGGGTGCTCTGGGTTTTTGGGGGCTCTGGTGTTTGGGGTGCTCTGGCATTTGGGGTGCTCTGGGTTTTTGGGAGCTCTGGTGTTTGGGATTGCTCTGGTGTTTGGGGGTGCTGTGGGGTTTGGATTGTTGTGGGTTTTTGGGTGGGTTTTTGGGCGCCCTGGTGTTTGGGGTGCTCTGGGTTTTTGGGTGCCCTGGTGTTCGGGGTGCCACGGGCAGTGCGTGCAGCTGCTCCAATCTCCCACCCCCGTCTCTTGCAGTGCCCTCCCTGCTCACCCCAGATGGCACCAGGAAATGTGAGTGTGGCACCGGGCATGGGGACCCTGACCTGGCCAGGCTGGGCTGTGACCTGGGGGTGACAAAAGCCATTGAACCACTGTCCCCAGCCCCCCATGACGCCACAGCTCCTCCTGGCCCTGCAACATCTGGAAGGGCCCTGATCCTTTCCAGATGTGGCCCCATTCCTACAGCAACAGCTGGCTGGGGTGTTGGAGGGATGGCAGGGGGGTGGCAGCCATTGGGACACCTCGTGCCTCATGGTGGCACTTGGGGACAGAGTGCTGAGACAATGGGGACTGTGGTGGGCTCAGGGCTCTGCTGCTGCCACCTTGGGGACACCTTTGTCCTGTGTCCACAGGTCACCTTCGGTCCCCCAGGTCCCAAGGTTGGTTTGTCACCTCTCCAGGACACCCAGAGCTGCAGCAGGAATGTGGGGATGCTGTGCCAGGAGCTGTGGGCACACATGGGGACGTGGGACACCCTGTGTCTGTCACCCTCCCTGTGCCCATTTGTCCCCCACCCTGTGCCTGTTTTACACCCACTTTGTGCCAGTTTTTNGTCAGGTGGCCTTGGGTGACCTGTGAGGTGGCCCTGAGTGACCCTCAGGTGGCCCAGAGCTCTTCCAGGTGTAAATCTGGGGTCTGGGTGCAGCTGGGGTGTGACGGTGTTCATGGGGGTCTGAGGATGAGGGAAGAGATGAGGATCGGACTCCATGTTTCAGGAGGCTTGATTTATCATTTTATAATATATATATTAATTTAATATATTAATATATAATATAATATATAATACATTACATTATATCATATATGATATATGATATATATTATATCATATATTATATATTGTATATCATATATTATATATCATATATCATATATAATATATTATATATTATGTATTATATAGTATATTAATATAATATGTTAGTACATTATAATCTAATATATTATGTTAAAACTATACTAAAAGCATAGAAGAAAGGATTTCATCAGAAGGCTGGCTAAGAATAGAAAAAGAAGGAATGATAACAAAGGTTTGTGTCTCAGAGAGTCCGAGCCAGCTGACTGTGATTGGCCATTAATTAGAAACAGTTAGCATGAGACCAATCACAGATGCACCTGTTACATTCCACAGCAGCAGATAACCATTGTTTACATTTTGTTCCTGAGGCCTCTCAGCTTCTCAGGAGGAAAAATCCTAAGGAAAGGATTTTCCATAAAATGTGTCTATGACACTGGGTGGCCTTTGCCCTTAGCTCGTGCCAGGGTTGCCAGGCAGCTCCGTGTCACCCATGGGGACACTGGGGACCCCGAGGCTGTACCAACACCTTTCTCCTCGAAAGCAAACCCCAGGCTGCCACGGCTCTGCTGGGTGCTGGCCAAACCTTGCGCAAGCAGAGCTCTGTGGCTGCTCCTGGCAGAGCCTGCGGGGTCCAGACGAGCTCCAGAGGCCCTGAGCAGGCACTGCTGGGTGTGTGGGGGCTGCTGGGGGGCACAGGGTGTCTGGCCTTTGTCCCCACGGTGCCAGGGCTGGCAGGGACGCTGCAGCGTGGCAGGGTGGCGGCAGATCCACGTCCTGCAGGAAATGGCTGTGGCGTGTCCCCACATTGCCCCGGGGCTGGCACGGAGCTGTGCTGGGCATGGGACTCTCCAAAGGGCCAGCAGATCCAGCCTGGGCAGCCAAACCCTTGGATGGATGGTGGAGAATCCAGGCTGGTGTTGTTCTTGGCTGGGGCACCCCAATTTCAGCTTTGGGGAGTCTGGAGATGGGCACAGAGATCCTGTTAGATCCTATGGGTGCCCACCCACCTCAGCGCCCTGTCAGGGTGTCCCTGTGCCCCGTGGAGAGCAGAGGGCACCGCTGGTCTTGTCACAGTGCCCATCCCTTGGTGCAGCTCCAGAGCAGTGGCTTGGAAAGCCGTGGGTGTGCAGCCAAGGCTGGGAGCGGAGCAGAGCCCGGAGCAAATATTTCCAGTGGTTAAATGGGCTGGGAAAGGCTGCCAGAGCCTCCCTGGTGATGATGGATGCATTTCCTGTCTGCCCTGGGAAAAAATTTTGGGATAAGAGCTGCAGCCATGCCAGCAGGGGTGGCAGTGTGGGACAGAACCCACTGTGATGCCAGCTGGGGTGCCACCAGTGGGGACAGCTCATGGCAGCACCCACAAGGGGTTGTTGGGGTGATGCTGGCACCTTGCAAGTGCCATACAGTGGGGACATTGGGGCACCCATCCATAGGGGATGACACTGGGGACATGGAAGGACACACAGGGGGCTTGTTGGGATGGTGCTGCCACCTAAGAGTGCCCTATGGATGGTGCCAATAGTGGGGACAGCTCATGGCAGGATCCATTGGGGTTTGTTGGAGTGGTGCTGCCACCTGAAAGTGCCCTATGGATGGGTGCCATCCTCCTCAGGGCCAGCTCCATCCCCAGAGCACCCCATAGGGGCCAGCCACCCCTATGGATGGGTGCCACCCTCCTCAGTGCCAGCTCCATCCCCAGAGCACCCTATAGGGCCCAGCCACCCCTATGGATGGGTGCCACCCTCCTTGGAGCACCCCATAGGATCCAGCCACCCCAAGAGCTGTCTCCACAGGCAGGTGTTCCCCCGGGGGCTGCCCCCCACCTTCACCCTGGTCCTCACCTTGCTGCTGAAGAAGAACAGCACCGGGGAGCACTGGTACCTCTTCCAGGTCACCGACCGCCAGGGATACCCCCAGGTACACCCCGGGGACGTGGTGGGGACACCCCAGGGACATCCAGGAGCCATTTCTGAGTGTGCCACTGTCCCCTCTGTGTGCCCAGCTCTCCCTGTCCGTGCACGGCCCTGAGAGGAGCCTGGAGTTCCAGGCGCGGG